GTATTATTTTTCAAATTAACTGGAAATATCTAATTGTTACAATATGGATTCTTTATGTAGGTAGTTAAATTAGAAAATTAATTAACTAGTAAAGTTTAAAAGTTTGAACGAATGCATTTTTTAACCTAGCTTTAACTTGCAAACTAGTTATTGCCCACATTTGATAATAGCTAGTTTATATATGTATATATAGCCATATAGGTATAGGCGTTAGTTTTTCCCGTCATTGAAAGGGTGCATATGCAAGAGTATTATTACTCAGCACATTTTTATTTTTCAAGCGAATATACGTTAATTAGCCGTCATGTCATTTTTATTTCCTCCCGCCAAAAATAGCTAATACAATCCGTAGTAACGAGTATAAAGTGGGTAAGTATACCGGAAATATTTTAAAACAATAGGCGCCCTGAGTAATACATGTGACAAAAGTGATTTATGAACAGCGTGGTACATGACATATCCATAATGTGCTTGTCAGACCATGACTTTTGGTCCACTTTGTGCATTTCACTTGCACCAGAATTACGAAAAGATACAGCGTATGGGATTTTATTATATGAGTAAAGGTTAGGGCCGTAGGGGACACTCTCTATAATAATATAGTATATTAACCATTATTGATGTTTTTAACCATAAGTACCCGGGCACGATGTCCCCGTGCACGTGTGGTCGTATTTTATTCGTTTTATTAATTACATAATATACTATATATGCACCGAACGGGGAAGGTGGCAAATTATACAAAGGGCTGCAATAAACAAAAATCCAGCAAAATCATAATGTTTTGTGATTATCTTTTTTTCGAAAAATCGAAGAAAAAATTGGTGGCAGAGTCATGGAAATTATATGCAAAACTCTTGCAGCCAGTGATTCGTATACAGATCAGTAGTGGTTCGTATATAGCTGATCAAAGGGAACTTCCTACGGGAAATGAGAAAATTTTGTTACCGACAGGAAATAATGTTCGAACACACGGAAATGGTTCATTACTGCAGATAAATCGCACAGTCTATACGTATATATATTATATACACCTTTCGGCATATCGAGAATCAAAAGGTGTAAATCACTTCAGATTATACAGCACTATATCTTTTTAAGCTTTACGGATAGGTATATCCATACAGGCAGAGTTGTAAAATTGTAAGACGGTAAATTAGAACTTCTAAAATATATTTAACACTTCTATGTATATGTAATATCTACCTAAATTTTTACATAATCACATTAAAATGGTTTGTTTTGAATTGATATGCGTTTTTTGTACGATTATCATTTATAATTACAAAGAAATTTAAACTTAAAGTCAAAAATACATATAGACTGTATAAGGGCTATAAATACAGGTAAATTGAGATAAAAAAAAATTGTATCGAATAAAAAAATATTGAACATCAAAGTACTACATTTTTTGAAAATGTCAGAATTATATCATTTCATTTAGTAATATATTTAAAAAAAATAAATATGTAATCACATAACTAACTGTAAAATAACCATAACCTTTGAAGTATTTAGTTCAATAACAAAAAAAAAAAAAATATATAAAATCACTTTGATTCTACACAATAAAAATAATGTTCTATTTGTTCTTTATTACAAGTTAAATAATGCATATTTCAATGCATTTATATTCTGGCATATCCACTCATTGGTAGGTAATATAGTACCAAATGAAGCGTTAGTGGGGAAAAACGATCACAGTCAAAAGAAAGAAAAAATCAAATAATTATAGTACCTTTTGGTTAGTTTCATAACGAATCGACACGTGAATCGAGTTATGGAAAAAGGATATCGGTTAATGATATAATACAGGTTTAAATATTACCATAAACGGGATAAAATATCGGAAACTGCAACTTTAAAACTGCAATACTCAATATTTTAGGAATATTAACTATTATCGTTTTTCCTCGTAACCCTTCAAGTGTAACTGTTTTAAGACGATGAGAACCATAATATATAATATACTCTATATAGAATTATTGGACTCAATATTTTTTAATATTGACTTGATTCTTATTTTATTCTCTGTAAAATAAAATATATTTTGGGTTTTTAGATTTAAATTGTAAGTTATTGAAATAATGCGTTCATAATATAATATAATAAATAAAACCCTGAGTTTGATATCCGCCTCATTCTTCTTGGTAGGAAATGAAAAATAATCTATTGAACAATTACTATCCGTACCTATATTCTGCACATAAGTGATTCCATTGACTTTCTTACACCATGTAGGTATTGACTTTCAATATTATGATAAACCTCTTACCGGCGTGGAATTATTGTATTTATGAAATGAAATTCCCGCAGATAATACTTCTTTGTAGAACGTAATAGTCTCGGAAAATTAATTTGTACAAATCTATACTATATAATCTACAAACACATTTACTATAAAATTGTATTTTTCTTAAATTTATAGTGATTTGATTATTACAGAAAGTCACTGCACTACTTATCTTCATTCCTAATTTTATTACAACGAGTTTTCAAGTAGGTATACTAAAATTGTTGTTAATAAAATATTAAAATGAGGTGACTTGTAACAAAATAACAATTACATTTCATATAACTACGTCATCAACAATAACGATTACGAATTTAGATTTTAATATTGAAAATACTCATTTGTAATTTATATTTAAAGTTTATAATAAATTGAAGACCTGGGAGCCACAACGAGACATCTCCATATTTTGGTTAATTTTTCGACCGCACATTATTAACAAAAAACTGCTTCGTTTTATGCAACAGCCAGACAAATCCCGAATCCGATTGTTAAATACAGAGATACATATTTTACATATGGAGATTTATGATTTTATTTAATTGTTTTAGTATAACAACAAGATATCTCCGAACTAGTTTGAGTTTAAATATATTTTTGTTAACTTTTAAAACATATTTTACTACCTCCTGAAATGTTTATTATTCGGAGATGTCTTATTGTTGCTTCCAGCTCCCAGATTTAAATTTGTTCAAATTTTTAAGAATTTGTTAAATCACTCAAATATGTAAACTATTCTGTAGTTAAAATGTTCACTTTATATAAAGCGTAATTAATGTATTAATTAATTAATTAATAATTCAATTTAATGATCCACATAGCAACCTAAAAATCTCAAAACAACTTATGCACAATTTTTTTTAATATGGGTATACCCCTTTAGTATAAATATAAAAAAATATTATTTTTGACGACACCTATTTAAAAGAAAAGTTAAGATTTTATTTGTAAGGACTTTTTGCCGCTACGTATATTATTATATTCTTAACACAATAAAATATTCAATATATTTAGATGCATTTTAACAAAATATATTGGATGTATTAGATTCGAATTTAACAAAATTACAGTGACAGTACAGTAATTACAGTGACCTACTCGACAGTCGACATCTACTTTAATTTTATAGTAGTGAGTATAGCGACTTTCTCGATTTTTATATATAAATAAATGACTTAATTTCATATAAACTATACACTAAGTTCAGTTAGTTAATTCATTCGACAAATTTTACTACTAAACCGGATGATGATATTATTATACCGTTAATAGTTATTAGTTTTAATGCAATATTCACATGCACTTTGTCATCTTCCATTTATCATTACTGATTTAACCTTAATTATTACGAAGTTTCCTTTACTTCTATCACTCGTTTTACACCTAAAATGTCTTTAATAATAATGTATGATGTACTATATTGAATTTAAAACCACTTTGTCATGCAGATCAAAGGGCTTTTACATTATCTATATAGGTAATGTATAAGGTATACAAATCAAATTATTTTTGGCACATGCAATTTTACTTATTTATTTATCTGTGAGTACGGACAGTAAACGAACAAGCCCTAAGACCAATATTATTATAAAAATCTGTTGTATAATATAATACAATTTATAGCCTTATAGGTGATAAAACGCCTGAAATAGTGAAATGTATCATTGCGAATTTAATATTAAAAAAAAAAAATTTAAATGCCTTATTTCTCAACTTCATTTTTTTTAATATTATTTGGTTTATGTTATTTCGATCAATACAACTCTATAAAAAAAAGGAGTTTTACAAAAGATGCAATCTCAATAATATTTAAATTAAATTAAATAAATAGATAGGTAGGTAGTATTGTAGTAATACTAGTAATGATATAGCTGTAGTCTGTAGCACCTGTATACTGTTTAGGTAGGTATATTTATTTATGAAATAATTGTTGTTAACTATATTAAATAGTTATTATTTAATTATTTTTGTCATATTTGATATCCGTTCTAAGTCCACTGCATTCAATAAATATATCATATATGAACCTATATATTATGTAGTCTATATTCATACAAATCATTAATAGCATAGAATTTTAGTTTACAAATTGTTTCTGCAGTATAAAGCTTTGAAAAAATCAAATATGTATATAAATATTTAAACCATAATAGGAAATTAAATATTAATAATAATAAAAATGAATGTGACTTACCAGATACATAACTCATAAGTATCTACCTGCAGCAGTATACCTATTTGATACTATTGTTATAGCTGTAGTCCTCATCACTGCAATAATAATTACGACTCACGACATGTAATAATAAAATATTATTAAAAATGTTCATTTATTTTCATCAAACTTGTTACCATAATATAAATATAAAATATATTCTAAAACGTGCGTGAGAATAATACTATAGATATTGAAAGAAAGTTGGATATCGGGTACTGAAAAGTTGTTAATGAAAATCAAATACGAGATAGGTATATAATAATATTACGAACTTTATCATTATACAATCTTTACTCATTAATCATTAGATATGCTTTAATTTTAAACCATTAAGATTTTTTGTAAATATTGAATTAACATGTTTACCATGCATATTATATTATATTATATTATTTAGTAATATTTTTATTTTAAAGTAAAAATAAATAAAATGAAAACACTCAAGTATTTTTTTTTTATCGTTTTTAATATTCATGTTATTTTTTCAAGGGGCTTTTTTAATACCTTATTGTACCATGCTGTTGGTTGGTGGAATTCCTTTGTTCTATATGGAATTAGCCCTCGGGCAATTTTATCAAACTGGGGCAATAACATGCTGGGGTAGGCTAGTTCCACTGTTCAAAGGTAAGTTTTCATTATTTTGACAGTTTATTGAACATTTAGACAAAGTTTTCAATAATCCGAATTTAATTTATTAATAATTTAGGCATTGGTTACTCGGTCGTCTTGATTGCGTTTTATGTGGACTTCTATTACAACGTAATCATAGCATGGGCATTACGATTTTTTCTGGCTTCGTTTACGAACATTTTACCTTGGACCACCTGTGACAACGACTGGAATACAGATTTCTGCCAACCGGTAAATTGTGTTTTATTTCTCTAAATCTATTTACATATACCTATTTAAAAACTCTTTCTGTTCTTTCTAAATCTATTTGTAAATATTTAGTTAATTGTTAACAAATTTGGTTGTACCCGTTCAATTGGTGTACAACAATTTCATTAAGTTTTGTTAAACTATGATTATTAAAGATAAAAATGAAAATAAGTACTGTTCTTATAATGGTATACCTATTAATTACTATTATTAAATATGTATACCGTAAATTATGTTTATGATTATTTAAAGTATTTTTGACTAACGCATATTTTTTTACATGCATTTTTAATAAACATTAGTTAACGATATGGTCAAATGATTCAAGCTTAAACTCAATAGACAACGTTACAGTATTAGCAAATGATTCCCGCTTAGCATCTGCTTCTTCGGAGTACTGGTTGTAAGTACCTAATTTATTTTAACTTAATATACAAAATAAAAATGGTTTTTTTTTCAGACGTAGAGTGCTCGAATTAAACCACAGCGAAGGTATTCATGATTTAGGATATATTAAATGGGATATGGCAGGATGTTTGTTTTTGGTTTACCTTATATGCTACTTTAGTTTATGGAAAGGAATATCTACTTCAGGAAAAGTTAGACATTTTGATTATTTTGATTTTGTATGCATAGATACATTCTAATAGTTCATAAAACAATATTTTTACCATAGGTTGTTTGGTTTACTGCATTGTTTCCATACGTAGTATTAATTTTCTTACTCATCAGAGGAATCACTTTACCTGGTTCGGCACAAGGCGTTCGTTATTACTTGTATCCAAACTTTTCCATGATTGCTAAACCAGAGGTAAGATTATTTATTTATTCTAAATGTAAAGTATAAGGTATAGGTCTGTAAACAGTCTATGGAAAAAGGTTTAGAAGAGTAAGCGTCTAATCGTTTATGATGTCAAGTTACATTAAAAATACAGATGGTTCTGTACTACCATAGAGGTACCGCAGGATACTCGTTCAATGGTATATTTAGGTGTTTTGAAAATAATATGATCTGTATAAATGAACTTGAAAATTGCAAAAAATCATTTAATCTAGATTCCGGATAAGTACCCAACTATAAAAACCAAATATGCGAAAAGTACCTACCTATAAATACTATTATTATAATTAAGTATCCGTTTTCAGTTATACAATTATTCTGCTTATTAGACTTTGACTCTTTAATTGTACTACACTTATATTATACTTATAATCGATTATTTTTGATTTAATATTAACAATTTATATTTAGTAATAAGAACCGATTTAAATACTGAACAGATAGTCAATCTAATTCCGCAAACACCTTACTAGTTGAAAACTAGAATTTGAAGAAAATAAAAACAATTTCACATCAAAAACCTCCACATGGCACGCCATATTATACTAATAATATTATATTCACCACATATTTTTATGATTGAAATTATACAGCTGTTTACGTATTCCCCTAACATTGCGACGGATAAAGTAGTGTCCATTATGAACACCCCCATTGAGGAAATGGAATTGTCGTGTCAAAATGAGATTTCATTTTCTTGCTGAATCTTATATTGACCACTATAAGCAGTGGCCTATGTAGTATGTATACATGCATTATACGTACACTAAACCTTTCGACAATTTGAAATGCGTACCTTACTTATACTAACTGAATTTTATTATGAACCACTGACATCAAAATAAATCAGACACTATAATGTATGTAGGTACACACACACACACACACACACACACTCACGTACCAGATATATCACGATATCATTTTATATTGTGCCATGTCTAAATATATAGTCGCATTAATGCATTATACATAATATAAACATAACACCGTACGTGCCGCATATAAGTAAATATTTACTATATATTATACAAGTATGAAGTCTAGCGTCTTTCTTCGAACAAATTTCAAAGTTTCGTTGCTATATATATTATATAAAATATATGGTCGAGTTAAAAATATGTAGGTAAGTGTATTACTGTATGGGGAATTTAAATTTACTTTCGTATTTTAGCCAAGAACTTGAATTCCACACTAAAAATATATATATTCTAGTAATTAATTAATTGATTTAATTTTAGTGTTGAGACTTAAAAAATTGGAAAATTATATAAGTACATCGATCTGCACATCGATATTATGAAATGAAAGATTTATTTCATACCTAAGTATTTCTGAAAATTATTATTTTCTTGGTAATATTTTGAAGTGGTCAGATCTAAGATAATTGATGATAATACATAGGGTTCAAGTTATACTTTTGTATTATATTTTATGTGAGTAAAATCAGTTAAAAGTGACCAAATTATTTTACTAGTTGATGACTTAATTTTGTTGCCACCTTGTGTTATAGTTATAGGCTTTTTAAATTGTATGTTAACATTTTCTTTTTGAGTTATACATTTTTTGTTACGATAGAAATTCTTATATTTTAATTTTACTTACATTAAGATTATTCGATACAATTCTATCATTTTAATTTGTCGTTGACAATGTAGATTACATTTTTTTTGTCTTTAATAGCATTAATTTGTGTTAGGTTTGGGTTGATGCTGCTACACAAGTATTCTTTTCACTAGGTCCTGGATTTGGAGTATTATTAGCATATGCTTCATATAACAAATATCATAACAACGTTTTGAGGTAAGTTTTAGGTACTTCTTTTGATTTTTTTAAACACTAAAATACATAATATTTGGAAAGTTATTTTTCCAATATTTAATTAAAAATGTTCATTAATTATCAAATCAGATGTTTGACGGTAATATAGAACTTAATACACACATACGAGTCGTACATAACAACTTTCATGCATGTCCCACGTACAACAATGTCAGATTTAATTTTGCATGGTTAATTTTGTCTCCACCTATTAATTGTTATTATATCAGTAAAAATGTTTTGAGTTTTATAATAAAACGGGAGCCACGGTTTGGCCACCCCTGTACTAATGTACTATAATATTATTATGTCTACTATCCATGAATATTACTATATGTGTGTTTTATATATATGATTGTTTAGAGATGCATATTTGGCAATTATGTGCAATTCGATCACCAGCTTTTTATCCGGTTTCGTTATTTTCACCGTCCTGGGTTATATGTCTCATGTTTCTGGTCGACAAATTCAACATGTGGCAACCGAAGGACCTGGGCTAGTGTTTATCGTTTATCCTGCAGCCATAGCAGCCATGCCAGGATCAGTGTTTTGGGCTTTGATATTCTTCATGATGTTACTCAACTTAGGTCTCGACAGTTCGGTACGATAACAAATTGTAATAACAACAATATAGTAGGTACTTACATATTTTTCACATCGTCGTCAATCATGATTAATTGTACGAGCTGAAACAGTTAATGTTTAAGTATTAAGGATATTATTACAATTTATATAGACATTATAATATAATATATTATTATAAGTGTGTGAGCATACCATTTAAGTATAATTATTATTATGATCCGTTTCAGTTTGGAGGATCGGAAGCAATCATAACTGCGATGAGTGACGAATTTCCATTGATCCGACGCAATCGGGAAGTGTTTGTGGCGTTATTGTTTCTACTCTATTTTGTGGTCGGTCTCGCATCATGTGCTCAAGGAGGATTTTACTTCTTTAATTTACTCGATCGTTACGCCGCCGGTTACTCGATGCTCATCGCCGTGTTATTTGAAACTATTGCCGTATCGTGGATCTACGGTACGAACATATATTTTTAACAAAGCACAGTATAGGTTTAGTGCTCATTGTGTTTCAACCATAAAGTAAATATTATTTAAACGCTAATCGGCTAATCCACCAGAAAAAAAACAAGCTTTTTTACGAAAAGATTTATTCGTAAAACCAGAATATAAAATACTATATATTATGTTCAAACAAAGTAGTCTTTTGGATGTACTTCAATCGGAACATCGATAAATCTGTTCATTGTTTGTTTTAACACTGTTAGGCTTGTGTATAGTGGGTAGTTTTTCGAGTTACACAATAGAGGGATAGAAGTACGGATGAACAGTTTTTCAATTAGATTACATCTTATTGAGAGGCGAATTGACGGAACTATATAGGTACTCAAGTACAATCGTAATGTATAACTGGGCTCACTGCATTCTTTGTACCATTATTATTTTCAAATAGTTAAATACAGTCAATTATTGTCGTAATATATGAAAAATATAATATATATAATGTTAACATTAATACCTGATAGCTATAAGATATCTTACCGGGAAAACGTACCAATAAGACCACAATACCTGTTTTCTAGAAAGGTATGTACAAGTGTTTTTATATGACAACGCCAATTTAAATATTTTTGACTTCTGAGTTCTATAGTACTATGTTCAAAATTTACCTCCTCATCAGTGTCGATAAAAGAAAGTAATTTTTTCTAACTAGATATTATACATAGTTTTAAAATAAATAAATTATACATAATTTGTTAGCGACCCATAGGTTGAGAACGCTGATAATCTATTATAATATACTGTAGTCTATACATAGTACATACTACTAATAGATATCATATAGTATATACTACTTATGTATAATATATGCATATATGAGTGCAACAAAACATTTTACATATTATTATTTATGAACACCGTATAACTGTATACCTAATTGTATGGTTGTACATAAAATAATAATGGCAAAAGCTTAACAAAAATCAACAATGTTTCAATAGTAAATTTGTTTTAAATTTGTTATCTATAGGTGTCGATAGATTTTGTGACGACATCAAAGACATGATGGGCCATAGTCCAGGCGTTTACTGGAGATTCTGTTGGCGTTTTGCTGCTCCTCTGTTCTTAGTCGTGAGTAAAGTAAAACATTTTCCGGTCGCATATACATTAAACAATCACTAAGAATTTAACGAATCAATAGTGAGCTAAATGTTACTTAATCATATATCTAGTGGACAGTGGCCATTGGTGGGCCCATTAAATTATATTAGTGAACCATCAAATTAATCAATTTGTATACCTACAACCCGGCATACACGTTTCATATTATGCGATTGAAAATAAAACCCTTCTGCATACAAATTCTTTGTTTTAATTGTTTTTGCAACAGTTTATTATAGTGTACGGTCTGTTGGGTTACGAACCGTTGACTTACGAAGGTTACGTGTATCCGGCTTGGGCAAATGTGCTCGGTTGGATAATCGCTGGCAGCAGTGTCGCAATGATTCCAGCAGTAGCCCTTTATCAATATTTCAACACACCGGGAACGCATTTACAAGTAATTTTGTCAAATAATATCAGTGTCACTGTTGTTATAAGTACACCCTGCACCTATACCTTTATGGAAATCGAACACTAACGTTGAAATTAATAATTTATCCAGAGAATGAAAATTCTGACTACACCTTGGCGTGACGAACACGACGACGATCCGATTTCTATAAACGGACTGCATATCCTCTCCGATCCAGCGCAAGTGAGATTGACCAGTCCCGTTGCATCCGTAGACGTCTGAGGTCCAATAGAAATGTTATAATAATATTATACTTGCTGAAATCCAATGGTTTGTTAACCCAGAGCGAGCAAACAGCTGATATCGTCAGTCGTCTAAACACTAGTATTTACATTAGTTGTTTTAATTTAAAAGATTGCATTCATAGTTTTAATTAGCCTAATGAATTAATGAGTGCTGACACTCAAAAAGTGCTTGTGTGTGAAAATCAAACGGTCATTTCGAAGTTATGCTTAATTAGTTATAAAATAGTTGTAGGTAACTATATCGTAATAATACATTTTATTATACATAGTAGGTAATTAAAACTTTTATAATATATTAATTTTATTATAAGTATACTTAATCATTCTTAGATTTTAAACATGAAAATATTTAAATCACGTTGCAAAGTTGATAGGTAATTAAACTGAAAATATATTTGTTTTGTTTGGTCAATGACAACGAATACCTACTTATATAAATTACGATGATCTCAGTCTCGAATAAAATAATCATAACAAATCGTCATTAACTTCTAACTTGTATTTTGATAATTAATAATAAATAATAATCAATAGCACTGTAAGTTTTAGTATCGAAAGCTGTAGTACCTAAATAATGTTAAAATGTAATATCAAATAATAAGAAGGACGGTAATCTACAGGTACAGTCGTACAGATAACCGTGATAAGATCTTATCATAATGTACTCTACATAATATTATATAGGTACATCATTTTTAATTAATTTTTCTTTTTATTAATTATTATTAGAATAATATTATATAACATCTTTAATTAGTGGCTATTTTTTGGGGAGTAAAAGTCTTACAATAATATTAAATCTGAAATTGAATGAACAGTTACCTAATATAGGTATACCAATCTATAGGAAGTGGTTTACCATTTTTGTTTTATTTTATTAAAATTTAAACATGCCTAAATAATTCCAATGAAAACTATATGGAATGTGGCGTATTATAATAGCTTAATACATATTACGTATAAAAAAAAAATGAAGAGCTAAATTGTTGGTTTTTGATAAAATAATTATAAAATAAAAAAAAACAATCTAGTTTTGCAAAAGAACGTTTTTAACATGATTAAACATATCTTTAATCGTGTTTTTTAACGAACAGTATATACATGCGTAGGTTTCACAATAGAAGTTTTACAATAGAGACTTAACGCTTTTTGATAAATAATAAATTTAGGTACCAATTAGACTATAGCTATAGACTATAGTACCTCGCTGGTAACTTAAATGTTATCTAACCTAATTAGTAATTACTAAACTTTTGTTTTTGTAATGTACAAAATGTGTACAATGAATGTATTGAGTGTATTAAATGTAAACAATCAGCGATATTCGTGTTTGAAAATAACTTTTCATCAAAGTTTTTTGCTTTAGACTAAGAATACAACAATATTGTATATTCCAATATCGAAGTTACTAAATAGTACGCTGTAAAAGTACAATACTAATTAGTGAATAGTGATAACTGATAGACGATAGTTGCCTAGGTATTCAACACGTTAGTATATTAAGTACCTAAATAAATTATTTTCTAGTCGTTCTTAAATGTAACAAAAACACACTTTCACTCCTTCAAAAGTTGTACATGTTAAGTCTCAAGTTATGTAGTTCTAACCGTAATGTAATACTCGAATGATAAATCGAATTGGTTGAAATCGGGGCCAAATAATTCAATTTTATCGGGTTAAAAAAAAAAAAATACCCCTACTGGAATAATCAAAATTTTTCTGATCTGCGTAGGTACGTAATAATTTAATATTCAAAACTTTGTTCACTGATGATCTTTAACTTTATTTAAGTGTAGCCGTGTAGGTAGTAGGTATCTACTAATAGTTTTCACAAATGCGATGCGAAATAATATCCCGTTAAATGCCTATTATAGTACCTATTGCCTATTACATACCACAAAACAAATTATATTCCAAAAATAAATTTTCAAGATGCGTAGAAATTTTTAGACAAATTTATGCTAGGTAGAAAAATATAATCATGTTATTGATTGATAATTTAAAGATAATTTGGAATTAAGTTACATACAGCGAATAGCGTTGTGTTAAGAATTTTGGCTGACACCAATCTTAGTTGTAGAATAGTAAAACTTCTATAAATTGAATAATGTATGTTACTATGTTAGTAGTTAGTAGGTATAGGCACATACATATATTCTATTTGTAGTAGTTAATAACCTACCTAGGTACTAGTTAACGATAGTTAAATAAAAAAATAAAATATTTGTTGAAATGTAAGACAAAGTAGTTTTTTTAGTTATTGGATTTTATATTAATCGGTATATTGTTAAGGTTTTATTAATGTACTACTTATTTGTACACTTTATAAATAATTATAAAACAGTCTGAATCAACAAAATGTTAATGATACGAGCAAAAAAAATCGTGTATATATAATAATGTGAAATTAATATATAATAATATAATTATATAGGTACCTAATAATTAATATATTAAAATAGTATGTAAGTCTTATTATACATTATTTATATTATATTCAAAATGAATTATCAATCAATTTTTTAAATATTATTAATATTTAGACTAGAAACGTATTGAACATTTTTAATTCATAATAATTTATATTCGAATATTAAAGTGATAAATTTACATAACTTTAATCAAACATGATTTTATAATGATAAATAATATTTGCTTTTGTAGAATAAACTATTAGATGCTATATTATGACCTATTACATTTCATTGTAATAAAAATCAAATAATAATGAATAATCTAAAAAAAATTAAACTTTTGTATGTTATTATAATTATTATATATACCCACGACAAGGCACAAATATAACAATAACATAAACTTATTAAACTTTCAATGTTGACAAATTAATTAATTTGTTGTGACTATGTATTTATATATATAAATACTAAGACTACTTACTACTGTCTACTACAACTTCTACTTTTACTATATATTATATAAAATAATATATGGCCATGTGGGTAGCATAAAGCATTACGCATGGTTATTCAAATTCAATCGTCCTATGCACAGTGTTCGAATTGAAAAAAAATATAATTATCAGTGATCATATCTTTATTTATGGTTCAACAATAGCATACCTATGTCAATTTATACACCATAATTTGTTGTATCGTGTGTTAGTCACAAACACAATATAAACAAACGTACACAAAAAACTTATTCATATTTATTGTTATAATAAATAATAGATAATATTATACTGGCTCAATAGTCAATAGTATGCTGCCTAGTTATTAATTTTCTTATTAAAATACATTTGTATAATATAGTATATCAGTTTTTACTTTCATTAATAATATTTATATTTTTCCGATTAATTTTTATTTTTTAAAAGTTTTCCTATACCTATTCTTTTTAACTTTTTTAAGTTTCTTTTCGTTTGTAAAGTATAAGTTCTTTTTATTTTCAACATAAAACAATTACACTTTTTAGATTCATAGACGCACGCTCATCAACAATGAATGCAATCATTAACGAATGATTATATCTCTCAGGCCACAGATCTGAAGACTGAAATATTTTTATGCTCCTAAAATGTTTCAACACCCGTCAAGCTTTATAATATAGAAAAGTTATGAAGTCCATTGCCCATGTGACGATAAGGAATTATTTTGATATAAGTGTTGGTCGGCGCATAAGTAAGCTAAACTATTGATGCCTAAACCAAGTAAGATGTTTTTATGTATTAAGTATTTTGTAAAATGTATTTATTTAATATTGTCGTCCCTTCATCATTTTATCTCCACGCTAAACACATCAGTCATCACCCACTATTGCCGGCCGGCGTCACACACACACAAAATCAACACTTTGTTCCAGGACCGTAAAAAAATGTTTATGAATGATTTCCACGACATTTAAAACAGGTTGAATAAAGAGGTCCAATAGGAATGAGTGGTAGGAGACTTAAAAACGGGACTTTGGTAATTTCTAAATAATAATAAATAAATTATAATATATATAATAAAAATATGATAAATATAATAATAATAGTAATGATAATATAGTTATAGTTATAATATTAGGTCAGTGTTGAATTTTAAATAAGGATCGGGGGATATTATCCTCATAATTTAAAACTACTGTATTTTTAATCCTCTTATAATTCTATGTGACAAATATAACTCCCTCGGCGACAGCAGTCTAGCTCGCCTTTCCAGAGGCTGAAACACACTAAAATTCAACGCTATAGTAAGCCGAAAATACGCGAATGCCGTGTTGCGACAAAATTAAAAAATTTTAATTAAAACCTATTCAACTTTAAATTGGATATATATTTATTTACATTAAAATATGTTTTATCGATGTATAAATAACGAAAAATATTATACAAGAGTATGTAGTGCAGTTTTCGCTGTACCGATCTATGTGTAAATTCAAATATTATAATATTGTAGTCGACCGGTGTTCGCTTGTTCTCGCTTGCGATGTGGATTAGGCCTACAGGGGACACCACAATAAAAAAAACGCGCCACGTGTAATACCTCATGCTTTTAAACAACATGGACGATGTGATATAATGTCGTTTAAAAAAGCATACAGGTGGTGTGGAAACTTACATGAAGCTGTAGTCATCTTATACATCGAGTACATTGAAGTAATATATTATAATGGAGTCTTTTATTTTTTGTTGGTGCACATTTTAAACTGGGGGGGGGAGGTGCAAAAGTCCCCTCAGCATATCTCTATATAATTGGTCAACACTAGTCCACATATCTGCACATATCTGCACATATCTGCACATATCTGCACATATCTGCAGATATTAACAATACAATAGTTTATTGCAAGATTTATTGTACTGCATATCTGTGCACTACTAAATAGACAAAGAAAAAGCGTAATATAATATCAAAAATAAATTATAATTCAAAATAGCAAGGTATTAAGTAATCTAAACTAAGCCATATAAGAGAAATACAAATATTATTGATATTAAAGAATGTAAAATTCATTAGGTAGGTTGACAACAAT